AGCTTTATAAGTGTACCTTCTATAAGTACACACTCTCTAAATTCACGCTTAAATTCTGGTCTAAATATAAGCATGACCTCTATAAATGCACTTTTTCTTATTGTTCTCTAAGTGCACGTTTGTAAAGTTCGATCCCAAGAGCGTGCACTTATATAAGTTTTACTGCACCCGCAACTATCAAATGCTAAGGAACTATATTTCGGGCAACCATATAAAATATGGTTTATGTTGAATAGCTTTGGATCTATTAGTCCATTTTGGATGATTTTACCACTAGAATGTTCGTTTCAATGAGACGATTCTAAAAAGCCCAAGGTTATTAAAATCCATGATCACAACCCATTTCTGGTTTGATTGTTTATACATACACTGATCCTTAATGATCTTGGATTCTGTGATGGAATTTTGACAATTCTGGACTCGATAAAATCGTCTCATTGATACAAAAATTTTGATGATAAAATCATCTAAAATGGACCTGAATCAAAAGTTATTCAATTCTAAACATATTTCATATATTAACTTAAAAAAAATTAATAGTCAAATTGCATAAAATTTTAACGATCTTGAAATCCAGTGATCAGATTTTATCGATTTTGGGCACATTAGAATCGTCTTATTTAGATGAATTTTTTTGGCGACAAAATTATCTAAAATGAACCAATGGATCAAAACATTATTAGCAATACCACAAATTAATCTTTATGCAGTGGATCTAATTTTTCGACAACCATTTTACAATGACAATTAAAAAATGGTGAAATAACAATCGGTAAAATGAGCAAATCTCTCCTAAATACCTCTATTTAGGCTGTTTGAAACTAAATCTCTGTTTTTTTGTGTTCCCGCTAAATTAATAAATAAAAAAGCAAATTAACTAATATTAAATAAAGGAGAAATCTTAGAAGCAGGCAGTCGATTTGAATAGACTAGAGGCTGGTAGTTCAGGAGCTGGAAGAAGAAAAAGAGATAACTTGAATAATTTAGGAGGAACGATTAGCATTGAAGAGTTGTCTTTTGATGAGGCTTTATATGATATACGAAATAATTTAAATCAATCAGCAATGGATATTACTGAGTTTGCAAATCAGTTTGATTCTATAGTACCTTCAATTAACTCGAAATTGAGAGATACTATAGCTACTAAGCTTAATGGATCTGATATTACCATCTTAAATAATTTCATTAGCCCTAAACTAGATGACCCTGATTATGGCAGATCTGCGGTCTCTCAAAAAATAGATGATTTTCTTACAGCACGTATTATAAGTTCAGTTATGACAGCATATGGTGCTGTTATATGTAATAATGATGTTCAATACCAATGTCAACAATACCAATGTAGTTGTAATACCCCTATTGGTAAAAACAATAGTATAATTGCAGGTGGATTTGGACCTAATAATGATGGTAGATATGGTGGGTATAGAGATAATCATATAGCCTTGATTTCAAAATGGAGAAATGTATCAGACTTTGGCGATAATTTTTTTGGTTGGGCATTTAATAATGATTCATGTGATGGTTATGAAAGACAAAACTGTGGTAACAATGGTGGCAGCGGTGGTGGTAAAAATAATGATAAAAGGTCTACCAAATATTTAATTTGTGAAGCAAAGGAATGCTAAAAATCAAAATGGTCGATATAATATTATTTGTTAGTATTTTTTAATTTTTTTAATATTATTTTTATTTTTATCTTTATTTTTTATAATAAGCCACACAAATTTTACTATATATAATCTGTTTTCATATCATGAGCTGGTAACCGTAAAACGGGTACTGTGAAAGGATCGCCTTTTACACTGCACAGCTTTTTTTAAATAAATTTTTTTAAAAAAACTCATTACAACCTATCATTTTACAATCCAGATATTTAATATGAATTTTTATGCATTAAGTCTGGCTTTTTTAAATATACATCTTATTGAGCAAGACTAATTTATCCATTATACAAATGTTAAAATTGAAATAATAACGATATCAAATAAGTATAAATTATGATCATGTTTTACAAGTCGGGATTGGTTAAAAGGCAGAATAGTTGTGGCAGAACAAATTCACGAGTTATAGGCAGAAATAGAGATTATATTCGGGTTACTCGTAGTTAACCGTATAACTGGATAATAACTATAAATACTCAGGTAGGTTCACCAGAACCCCGGACAATTATATATAATGTGGGAGAAAATAAAATCATAAGATTCAAAGAAATTTACCTCAAAAAATTTTGATTTTATACTCACTTTTATACTTACTACATATCAAAATTTTACCCAAACTTTTACATACCAGGTTAGCAAAAATACCATTCCTGATGAAGCGTACTCTTCTTGATGAGGAAGGGAAAGAAATTGATTTAAATACTATTCTTGATAGGGTTCTAAAAGAGGGAAAGTTAGGATTAGGGTTCGCTTTTAGTACCCTGTAAGGAACAGTATTCAAATAAAAAATTTTGAACTTCATCAAGATCGGTACTGCTGATCCATCAGGAATAGTAATTTTGCACCATATTGGGTCACGCAAAAACTTTTTTGTTTCTCATAAATAGTGTTTGGACTGTCCACTGTTACGACCAAGGGAGAGACTTTGTATCCACTTAGCCAATTTAGCAAGGAGTCGTAAGCATTAACAAGAGAAAGTCAAATATTTATTTACGCACACAAGGCACCAGAAAATACCAAACCAATGTGTCCCCAACACTACTAGTTCAAATATCCTTGTCCAACTAACTAACCTAGTACGTTCCAAACGCACTCAAATCCAACTCAAAATACTAACAAGACTAAAAACAACTAAAAAGAACTCCTTGAACTAAAATACATAACGTTCTATATATATCTATGAATAAACTCTAAAATAAGCCATAGTCTATTTAAAGTTTAATTAAAGTATGTTTTATACTTCGCATAAACTATTAAAATGTTACACACAAAAATATATACAAGTATATAAGGTAAGTATAATGGTTACACAAGCAAAGTTTAATTGTGAAACTTTGTTGCGTATCACCACTCGGGTCACCCGACGGGTGAAATAGATGATTTCGGCATAATATATTTAATATGTATGTAATGTTAAATTTTCGTTTTGCATTACCCACTAACCAAATTTTTAAAAACTCTTTTTTTTTTACAATAACAATTTGGTTTAAACAAACATAATATTTATTCTAAGAATAAATGTATACGTAGCACCCTCAGATTTGAGTAATGACTTTGTTAGTTGTCTTTAATTTTTTGCAACTACGAATATAAAGAAGTGTTTGCAAAAAATAAATAAACAACACATCTATTGTGATTGAGTATGCTATATCCAAAATTTGAGTTTAAGTAGAATAGAGCTATTAATAAGAGTTTCCTTAAATTATTCAATACAGTCAGTACTTTCATAAAATTATACAATCAGAAAATACTTGCTGGAACTATCTTTTTTAAAGTAATAAATTGTCGAAGTGTGGGATCCATATATGTAATTACAACTCACTCTCGTTATAATCTTGATATAGTGAAGATTCGATATAGTGAAGATTCGATATAGTGAAGATGATTCTTCGGGATTATGATCTTTCGGATTATGATCTTTCAGGATTATGAGCTTTCAGGATTTTATCTTTTAGGATGACTTTTCGAGATTTTTTTTCATGATTTAGTTTTTGAGATATTACCCCTTAGAGATTTTGTTCTTTCGAGATTTAGTACATCGGATCTAGTACCATCGAGATTTTGATCTTTGGGATATTGACCAAAATCGAATAATTAGTTATCGGATCCACACTCTATTTTAAACTATCGTTTATATCCAATAAGCACGCAGTAGTCAATTGTAACTAGTAGTGACATGCTTTCGAAACTTGTATAATTGATAATGTCCTTTTGTTATTACATGTTGATATATTTAAAATTTTAGATCCGTATGATAAAAACATTAACAAATTTATATATAAATGTATATAGATGCTACCAAGAGAATTTAATTACTTGTTAAGGCAGCCTTGGTGGATGTCTGATTAAGCGGTATACCTACCCGAGTGAACCTACCTGTGTATTACCCAGGTGACCTACTTGAGTATTTCTAGCATTATCTGGTTATCTGGTTAACTACGAGTAACCCGAATACAATTTCTATTTCTGCCTATAACTCGTGAAGAATTTGTTCTGCCACAACTATTCTACCTTTTGACCAATCCCGACTTATAAAACATGATTTCAATTTTAACATTTGTATAATGGATAAATAAGCCTTGCTCAATCAGATGTATATTTAAAAAAAAACCAGTCTTAATACATAAAAATTCATATTAAATATCTGGATTGTAAAATGATAGGTTGTAATGAGTTTTTTTAAAAAATTTATTTAAAAAAAGCTGTGCAGTGTAAAAGGTGATCCTTTCACAGTACCCGTTTTACGGTTACCAGCTCATGATATGAAAACAGATTATATATAGTAAAATTTGTGTGG